CCCCCCCCTCCCCCCATATCCACCCTCAACATCCCCTCCGTGTTATAACCTCAATGTAAGAGGATGTATATGCCAGTACTAGTGCCAAGAAAGAAGCTCCATCAGGTCTGAACTTTGAACTTTTACAAATGTCATATTGGCATGTATAGTAAACGTTTACGATAATAACGATGTTATCGCTCTCGTAGTTTTTGGGATGTAATTTGTACTCCTTTACAGATAACAGCAACATATAATACATCATTTGGCTTGAACATTTCCCATCCAATAAACCGGCTAAAAAACGTGATTGTGGCGTTTTTGTTTTTATGCAGTTTGCGCCAAACTTCCAGCTTTATAATTAAGAAGCAGGATGTGTATAGTATGTGTACTTGTATAAGCAAAACAGTATGAAAAAAAATCAAATTTCATTGCCACCAAAAGTTTAGCATACTGAAAAGGTGTGCTGATATATCGAGGGAAAGAAATATAGAAAAAGATTTTTGGGGAAAAAAGGAAAGATGACCTTGAAAGATGTTGGCGATAAGCAAAGTGTCAAATTAAACAAGGGGCAGTAGATTAAGGTTTTATTGTAAAGTCTGACTTTATCGGTGCTGACTTGGATATTTCTAATGTAGGACTGTATATATCGGGAGATTTCACTGCAGTTAAATTTCCACCTTTTCCACCCTCTGTAACGAGGGCAAATTTATCATCACAGCAAATATTAGTAAACAGCATATAAAACATAGAGATTGAATGTGAAGGGGGAAATTAAAACTGGACGAATGTGGAGTTAACCGACAAAGGGCGAACATTTTCTTGTGAATCCATTAAGCACCAATCTGGTAATATATGATTAATCTGAATAAAAAAAAACATCTCTGTAAAATTCCTGCCAATCAGTAATAGTTCTGCTTTGTGTGAGTGATCCTTACCAATGCAGTATTGTACCTGTACAGCAAAACGACATACAGAATAAATGTTGCATAATCTTAATATGACTGCTTCTAAGATATACACATTTTTCGTTTAGATGTTCACGAATCGTTTCTTTTGTTGCAGAGCTGCACACTATGTCCATGCGACTGGTGTCTGGCGGCACGTACAATGTTCGGGCATCAGAGATGGCTGCCCATCTTCAGGATCGTCAGCCTAAGACTGTGCAGTGTATCGTACATTTCCTAGACGATAGCGAGGAACAGTTTGAAATTGATGTAAGTAGCCGTAAAATGAACAGGAATTCGAGTAAACATTTTCTTATACTGTCCCAAATTTTCTCGTGATTTTTATAACAGACATTTAAATTTGGTAATATTTCCAATGACATTGAGGTAATTTGCCTTTGATGAATTTTCTCTAACATTAAAAAAAAAAAAGGTAATGTATTCGTGAGGGTCATGATTTTGGGATTAGGAAAATTGAATCATAAACAAAAAATAAATATCATCCTTTTTTTTTGGTCTACTGATATTTGGGAATTTTTTTGGAAGGGAATTGGACCTGAAAAACAGACCCAAAAAATGGCCTAGGAAATCCTGGGAAACAAGGCATGCATAAGAATGTTTTAGTTGAATAGTTTTACTTATCATCTGGTAAACGACAACATTGCTTTTATACATTAGAAATGACAGATGTAGAGAGATACAGCAACAGGAACAAGGTAATTGATCAGAGGAGACCAACGAGCCGAATTGATTCTTATAGATTAAACGGAGGTGCTGCAGAATGTGAAATTAACCATTTATCTTGTTCAACCTTTTTATTCTTTTCATTCCACTACCCAGAATATTTTTCAAAACTGATGTTTATTTTGTTTTGATATATAACTTCTAAACGTAGTACGACAGAGTGTGGCGTCGTTTACTTGCACTTCGCTCTACTTCATCTTCATTGTGTCCAGTAAAAGTTTGACAAATCATTCCTGTATCGTCCCACTTAGAACCTAATTTTCTCAGTGATTGATCAACCTTCAGTTTTGTAATGTCTTTATTTTTATGCAAGCACAGAAAAAAAAGTCCGTAAATATTTACGGTACATAAGAAGTAGTGGAGTTTAACGTGGTGTATGAGGATTTACAACAGTAGAACATTATACTTATAATGTGTAGTCTTCTGATTTGGAAATGCATCTTAGTTCTAAAACCTAACTTTAATCAATCACAACTTTCAAGTTTTGTATATGGCCAAATTTAATTATTTTTTTCGTAAAATTATTTGTACGTAATAATGTTGGAAATTTGGTATTTGTTCTACAGCATGAGTTATTTCATGGGTAAAGACCGGCAATAGAATTTGGTAGCCGAGTCACCAGATTTGTCAAAGAAGTTATTACGAAAGAGAATATGGTTCCAAAAGTTGCGAGAAAGCAATGTTAAAAATGAAAAATGTCTGAAGGTGTTTTGGTGGCTTTTTGGCTTTTTATATTCCAAGAATCAAAACACATCCATTGTCTTTCTATTTTATTTGGAATTTGGAGGTGGGAGATCAATTCTAAAAGCATAGACACAAATAATAATGATATTGCAGAAACTATCAACATGCTCAAATGTTTATGGATTCATCTCTCAGGAATTCTAGAGAGGCATAATTGATAAATATTTCTTTAATGGTAATACAAGGCAGAACCATCGTTTATCTTGATAACCAATCACAGTTATGCAATTGGAACTGAAAAGAAAAGAGATAAGAACATATAAAAATGTACATGAATTAGCATACATCTAGTGGTGTTCGTATAGAAGGCAAATCTAAATGGAATAATAAAATCTTCACACGATTGTATAGATAGTTTCATGCTTCATCTGTTTTTGCCATTTCCAATTCAGACAAATTGTGAGATCCTTGTCGTTGCTGTGTTCTGATACTATTAAATTTTCCAGATTTTTCCCCCGTTAATGGGTCATTCACGTATATGCATCAGAGCACAATTTTGTGTGACCAGTGTTGGGGATTGTTGTCGGAAATGCTCGCCACAGGTTCAAGCATCGGTGCAACATTGATCATTGGCAGTTTTGGTTTGGTTTATTGTGCTGCAAGCAAACAGTCTTCCGGCTCCGACAATCTGCGGTCTCACTTTTCATCCCGCTCTGACAGGTCAACCACCATGTAATGGTGATGGCATGATGGGGAAATTGCTCTTGAGAAGGACAATTATTTTTAGAGGCTTTCATGTTTTTCTAGGAGACATTTTAACATTGACTTTGTCTTCACTCTAGTTGGTCAAACTTGGTATCAAGAAAAAATCCCTAGACCAAAAATCTGAAAAATAAGTTAGGGCATTGAGTAAATTCACACAGGCAAAAAAAGAACATGCAGTTTTGTAGCTTATTAGTAGTGTTGTGTGGTTTCAGCCCCCCCCCCCCCCCCCCCCCCCCCCCCCCCCCCCCCCCCCCNCATCCGAAAAAAGCTTTTCTTGCTAACGGAACAACATCTGAAATTTTTGCTAACTGAAACTTCATATGTTGCCTTCAGAAAATCCCCTATTCTTTAAAAATAAAAAAAATATATGAGGATTTAGATGTTTCATTAAATGGTCAATTTTTCATGATTTAGGGAAGGCAATTCCCAATTAAAAAATACCCATGAAAACAATGCAGAACTGTTGAAACATGAAAAATATCAAAATGTCAAGAGAAAAAAAGGCTGGAGATAATACTTTCACCAATACGTGTTCTAAAATAAAAAAAATATCATTGGGATATTTAATTTCTATTTTATTTTTGAAATTTTGATTGTTTATTAATCACATCACGGAGATGATATTTTGATAGGAAAGAATAAAAGGACATAGGTGTTTAGTAGGTGAATTTAACGAGATAAAAAAACTAGGACTATTCCTATTAGTTGTCAGCATTAGAGCTACTGTTACCTTGTAATCGACAAAGTGTGAGAAATAAGAGCGTTTGTGGACAGATAAGGGTACAGTGTTATCAGTGCTACCTACCACATAGACTTGTACACACACTAGGTAGTGTTAACAACTGATGCTCTGGGATCTGTCTTCCTCTTAGTTTTCTGTGTATATGTACTTCACTTTAAAAGTATTGCAGATTTAATGTTTTCTGAAGACGCTTTCTCTTCTCCAGTGTTATTTGGGTTATCAACAGTTTTGGGACCATATCGTTTTCAAGGGTTATGTCCTAGTGGTGTCATGGAAGTGATGGTGAATATTCATCGTATGAAACTATCATTTCTCCTTTGGGTAGGATGTTAGTGGTTCTGTGTAATACAGGGTTAGCACAGGGCAATACAGGGTTAGCACAGGGCAATACAGGGTTAGCACAGGGCAATACAGGGTTAGCACAAGGCAATACAGGGTTAGCACAGGGCAATACAGGGTTAGCACAGGGCAATACAGGATTAGCACAGGGCCTTGAAAAGCCTTGAATTCACAGTATGGCTTTGAAAAGCCTTGAATTTCACTTTGGGCCTTCAAGAGGCCTTGTATTTTACTGTTTAGTAATTCATATATGACTATCCAAAGTCATGGCTTTCTTGCAGATTAAAATTCCACAATTTTGTATAAAATAAAATAGTTCTTCCAAGTTTAATTTAACTATTTATAACCATGTATTGATGTGTTTTTACCAAGGATAAGTATAGTGTAGCATTGTTTTGCTCCTTGTTCTCTCTCAGGCTGCCTTTGGCCGCAAAGTTAGGCCATGAACATTACGTTAAGGCCTTGAGAAATCCTTGTAAAGGCCATGAATTCGGTTTGACATGATCTGTATGAACCCTCTAATACGCTAGGCAGTCAAAAATGACTTTTCATATCAAATAAAATATTACGATAAATGGGCAAAATGTACCATAGTTAACATACAAAGACAAAAATATACCACACTGTCAACACAAAGTTACAAAAATATACCATACTGTCAACACAAAGTGACAAAAATTACCATACTGTCAACACAGTGACAAAAATATACCATACTGTCAACACATAGTGACAAAAATATACCAAACTTTCGACACATAGTGACAAAAATATACCATACTGTCACCACAAAGTGCCAAAAATATACCATACTGTCAACACAAAGTGACAAAAATATACCATACTGTCAACACAAAGTGCCAAAAATATACCATACTGTCAACACAAAGTGACAAAAGTATACCATACTGTCAACACATAGTGACAAAAAAAACCCATACCGTCTACACATAATGACAAAAATATACCATACTGTCAACACATCGTGACAAAAACATACCATACTGTCAATACATAGTGACACTGTCTACACATAGTGACAAAAAATATACCAAACTTTCAACACATAATGACAAAAATATCCCATACTGTCAACACATCGTGACAAAAACATACCATACTGTCAATACATAGTGACAACAATATACCGCACTGTCAACACAAAGTGAAGAAAGTATACCATACTGTCCACACATAGTGACAAAAATATACCATACTGTCAACACAAAGTGACAAAAATATACCGTACTGTCAACACAAAGTGACAAAAATATACCATACTGTCAACACAAAGTGACAAAAGTATACCATACTGTCTACACATAGTGACAAAAATATACCATACTGTCAACACATAGTGAAAAAAATATACCATACTGTCAACACATAGTGACAAAAATATACCAAACTTTCAACACATAGTGACAAAAATATACCATACTGTCTACACATAGTGACAAAAATATACCATACTGTCAACACATAGTGACAAAAATATACCATACTGTCAACACATAGTGACAAAAATATACCAAACTTTCAACACATAGTGACAAAAATATACCAAACTGTCTACACATAGTGACAAAAATATACCATACTGTCAACACATAGTGACAAAAATATACCATACTGTCAACACATAGTGACAAAAATATACCATACTGTCAACACATAGTGACAAAAATATACCATACTGTCAACACATAGTGACAAAAATATACCAAACTTTCAACACATAGTGACAAAAATATACCATACTGTCAACACATAGTGACAAAAATATACCATACTGTCAACACATAGTGACAAAAATATACCATACTGTCAACACATAGTGACAAAAATATACCATACTGTCAACACATAGTGACAAAAATATACCATACTGTCAACACATAGTGACAAAAATATACCATACTGTCAACACATAGTGACAAAAATATACCATACTGTCAACACATAGTGACAAAAATATACCATACTGTCAACACATAGTGACAAAAATATACCATACTGTCAACACATAGTGACAAAAATATACCATACTGTCAACACATAGTGACAAAAATATACCATACTGTCAACACATAGTGACAAAAATATACCATACTGTCAACACATAGTGACAAAAATATACCATACTGTCAACACATAGTGACAAAAATATACCATACTGTCAACACATAGTGACAAAAATATACCATACTGTCAACACAAAGTGACAAAAATATACCGTACTGTCAACACATAGTGACAAAAATATACCATACTGTCAACACAAAGTGCCAAAATTATACCATACTGTCTACACATAGTGACAAAAATATACCAAACTTTCAACACATAGTGACATAAATACAGACGACTTTCAACACAAAGTGCCAACCATATACCGTACTGTCAACACATAGTGATAAAAATATACCATACTGACAACACATAGTGACAAAGATATACCATACTGTCAATACATAGTGACCAAATATACCACTGTTAACACATGGTGACAAAAATATACCATACTGTCAACACAAAGTGACAAAAATATACGGTACTGTCAATACATATTGACAAAAATATATCATACTGTCTACACATAGTGACAAAAATATACCATACTGTCTACACATAGTGACAAAAGTATACCATACTGTCAACACATAGTGACAAAAAATATACCAAACTTTCAACACATAGTGACAAAAAATATACCAAACTTTCAACACATAGTGACAAAAAATATACCAAACTTTCAACACATAGTGACAAAAATATCCCATACTGTCAACACAAAGTGACAAAAGTATACCATACCGTCCACACATAGTGACAAAAATCTACCATACTGTCAACACAAAGTGCCAAAATTATACCATACTGTCTACACATAGTCACAAAAGTATACCATACTGTCAACACAAAGTGACAAAATATACCACTGTTAACACATGGAGACAAAATATACCAGTGTTCACACATAGTGACAAAATATACAAAATATACCATACTGTCAACACAAAGGGACAAAATATACCAGCGTCAACACACAGGGACAAAATATACCACAATGTTAACACACAGGGACAAAAAATACCACAGTGTCAACAAACAGGGACAAAACATACCACAGTGTTAACACACATAGACAAAATATACCACAGTGACAACACACAGGGACAAAATATACCAGTGTCAACACACAGGGACAAAATATACCACAATGTTAACACACAGAGACAAAATATACCACAGTGTTAACACACATAGACAAAATATACCACAGTGTCAACACACAGGGACAAAAATATACCGTACTGTCAATACATAGTGACAAAAATATACCATACTGTCTACACATAGTGACAAAAGTATACCATACTGTCCACACATAGTGACAAAATATACCATACTGTCTCCACATAGTGACAAAATATACCACAGTGTTATCACACAGGGACAAAATATACCACAATGTTAACACACAGAGACAAAATATACCACAGTGACAACACACAGGGACAAAAATATACCATACTGTCAACACAAAGTGACAAAAATATACGGTACTGTCAATACATAGTGACAAAAATATATCATACTGTCAACACATAGTGACAAAAATTACCATACTGTCAATACATAGTGACAAAAATATACCAAACTGTCTACACATAGTGACAAAAATATACCATACTGTCTACACATAGTGGCAAAGTATACCATACTGTCCACACATAGTGACAAAAATATACCGTACTGTCAATACATAGTGACAAAATAAACCATACTGTCAACACAAAGTGACAAAATATACCACAGTGTACACATATAGTGACAAAATATACCACTGTGTTAACACATGGTGACAAAATATACCACTGTGTTAACACATGGTGACAAAATATACCAGTGTCAATACATAGTGACAAAATATACCACAGTGTCAAGATACAGGGACAAAATATACCACAGTGTCAACACACAGACTAAATAAACCACAGTGTCCACACATAGTGACAAAATATACCACTGTTAACACATGGTGACAAAATATACCAGTGTCAATACATAGTGACAAAATATACCACAGTGTCAACATACAGGGGCAAAATATACCACAGTGTCAACACACGGGGACAAAATATACCACAGTGTTAACGCACAGGGACAGAATATACCACAGTGTCAACACACAGACTAAATAAACCACAGTGTCCACACATAGTGACAAAATATACCACTGTTAACACATGGTGACAAAATATACCAGTGTCCATACATAGTGACAAAATATACCACAGTGTCAAGATACAGGGACAAAATATACCACAGTGTCAACATACAGGGACAAAATATACCACAGTGTCAACACACAGGGACAAAATATACCACAGTGTCAACACACAGGGACAAAATATACCACAATGTTAACACACAGGGACAAAACATACCACAGTGTCAACAAACAGGGACAAAACATACCACAGTGTTAACACTCATAGACAAAATATACCACAGTGTCAACACACAATGACTAAATATACCAGTGTTAACACACATAGACAAAATATACCACAGTGACAACACACAGGGACAAAATATACCAGTGTCAACACACAGGGACAAAATATTCCACAATGTTAACACACAGAGACAAAATATACCACAGTGTTAACACACATAGACAAAATATACCACAGTGTCAACACACAGGGACAAAACATACAAGTGTCCACACACAGGGACAGAAATTACCTCAGTAACAACATGAATTGGACAAAACCTACCCCACTGTCAGGCTATAATGACTGTATAGCCACTCTTATCAATATACATGGACAAATTGTACAACAATGTCAACACAAAAAGGCAAAACATATCAAGTCGTTTTTCCTTTGTTTCAGAAGCGTGCGAAAGCGCAACATTTATTGGATAAAGTATTTGACCACTTGGAGCTGGTGGAGAAGGATTATTTTGGACTTCAGTTTGTTGACCTTTCACCCGCTCCGGACCACATGGTCGGCCATAACTTCATGGCCCCTAGTATATACGCATTGGTAAGTCAACTTATGTACTAAAACGTCTCCATCTTTTCATTTGCAAGTACACACAGCAGTTTGCATATGAACAATTGAAAACTCGGACCTGAATGATCGTTCATTATGAAAAAGCAACTCCTGGTCAGTCACATCATCAAACTGGAGGAAATTTCATTACTTAATGACTGTCAACAGAATGTTGGGAAAGAGTAGGGGGAGTGTGTCATGTAATCATGGTGTATAGGTATACGTACTGTGGTGCCAGCTAAATACTGTATACTGGGAAATTTTCACTCCATTTCAATTTTCGCCTTTTTCGCCCACTGTGATGAGAGTGAATTTATCACTACAGCGAACGTAACTAAACAACATGATAATGCATAGCAATTGAATCTGAAGGCCGAAATTAACACAAGACGAATAAGAATATTCTGGCGAAGGGCGAAAGTTTGACTGGGAGAAATTGTCCTGGTATACAGTAGTTCAGCCACCTTTGTTCTTGTTAGGCAATCTAGCCAATTTTAGTAGATGAACCAAATCAAATCATTGGATATCATAAGGTTATTTGAGCAAACATTGTCCTGATATTAATAGGTTGTCCAAGGCAAAATATACCTCAATCTGAGAAGACATTGTCTTGTGATTTGTTGTCCATTTAACTTATTCACCCCTGAAGACGCATTTGAACTCTTCCATTCAAATGTTGGAATAGTTCATTTTGAAATTTCAGGGGTGAATGAGTTTAATTATAGCTAGAACACATTATAATTCATATCTTAAATATATAACACAATACAGTTTTCCACCTCAAAAACAGAAGTGATTTACATGATCAAATACAGCAAAATTGGTCTTAACAAAGAGTTGGTTGAATCTGAAACAAGATTTGCTTGTTGATAGATGTAGGGGAAGAAAGCATATTGTACCCATCACGAAAACAATAACAGGAATGTTTCTCAGATCAATAACAGAGCTGATCCTCCAACACTCCCCCTGAATTACATGTTTCTGCTAAATTGGACGTTGATGTTAATTCTCATCCCTCCATTGCAATAATGGGACGGGAAAACCAGGGGAAGCAGTGCTCATTCCTGGATTATGGGGAAGGAAGGGTTAATGAAAACAGGTATTCAGATACATGGTCATAAATTGTGTATAAAATTTAGAGACCATTTGCTGAAAGGAAGACATCCTCCATAGGGCCTCTACAAATGAGTTTTTTTTTAATAATTAAGGATCCATTCCTCTGAGAAGTTTAAAATTCCTGTATTTAACTGTATTTCTTGAAGTGCAATAAATGCAAAAAAGGCCTATTTGCTCTTAAAATTGATCATAATTTGTTAAATTTTATAAAACAACCTTTTAGAATTTAGTTAATTCAGTTAGAATTTACAGTTAATTCAGACATCAGAGAAGGTACAGTAGATTAGACATCTCAGGTTCTAAAATAGATCTAAACATGTTAAAACCTGGTGTAGATTGAGACATGACACCATTTACTGTAGAACAAGACTTATCACACCTCTCAAAGTGGATTGAGATCATACAACAAACAGGTATGTCTACAGCTTGTTGGATTTAATGAAATTGTGTGTGAGTCGGTTCACAGCCCTCCGACGAAGGAAGTGTTTCTAATTAGTAACCCCCTCCCTGTATCCACCTAACTGGCTTCCAAGCTCCATGTAATTATACCAAGCTGCTAATTGGCAAAAAAGTAGTTCTCTTAAAAATAATCTATTCTTTTGGCTTGATTCCATTCTGTTTCTATGGTAACTGATGATTACAAAAACGTAAGTTTAGGTAATCCTACAGCCCCGTAACTCATTGCAATAAAGTTTTATTTAAGACCTTTTGATATTCCTGTTCTGGCTAGGTTTCAGAATTGGAAATAAAACAGCTCTTGAAAATGTAATTGTTGTATATTTTTTATAAATTTGATAGCAGTTTGTCTGCTAGTGAGATTCAGTTAAGTAGCTTTAACAGATCAGGTTCTAGCACACTATCTCCATAAAAACAGCATTACAATTGTATTTTTGTTTCATGTTCAGATTTTGGAAATGAAAAAATACAACATTTGTTTGCACATAATCCATACAGTTTCGGACTTGATGACATTTTCATTGAAAATCTGTTTACCATATTTATTCTGCAATAAGCCCATATGCCTGGTAATAAGCCAACCAATATCTAATGCAGTTCAGTTGAAATGCCAACCAATGCAATTTCATTGTCCTCTAATAAGCCCACCTCCTACAATGAGACAGATATTTTATGTTTGCCCCTTGCCTTATTGCAGATTGTGGAATGTTTAACATTGTATGGCATTGCCACTATATAATCTTACCAAATTCAGTTGGCATTCATATAGGCTATGAATGCCATGGACCGATTCTTGACATCATCATTAATATGACATCATAATTGTTATGTTACGTTGGATACCACTGCCCCTCCCTGGGTGATGATTGTTCAGTTCATTAAACAAATATACACGATAAATACATTATTTGAATTTTCTATAAATTAACAGATTCAAAAATTGGTAAATATCAGTATTGAACTGCTTTCAGTTGAAATTCATAGGCATTATGAATTCCAAGTGGACAAAGGCAAATCCAACATGATAATAAAATATGAAATAATGCTAGTGACTTAAATTATGACTTTGCTGACTGCCTATCTCCTGATTCATCCTGTTCATGCGGCCATCCAATTGAAAAATCTGAACACTTCTTCTTCTTTTGTCCAAATAACTCTAATTCCAGAAACTTAATTCATGATATCTATACCAGAGTTGACTATTTAAATGTTCATCTTTTGACATCTGGAGTTACTGACTTACCTACTAAAATAAATATATTTATATTGTCTAATGTGGAAAAGTATATTATTGCATCTAAACGGTTAGGATTATGTAATTAAATGTTTAAATATTATCAAACTGTTATATATGCATTTCTGCATGTATATATATAATTAAATGACTTAATATCTGTATTTAGCTTAATTCCAACATAATTGTTGATAGTTGCTAGTCAATTTAAAGTAAGTTGGCAATTGTATGAATGTATGATTGAGTGTATGAGTGTAATATAATAATATAAAAAGCTTAATAATTACATGTATATATAAAATGTCATACTAACACCATCATGGAGAAGATTGATATAGGCCTAGCCTGTTATCTTATCCATTTAAATATAGTAAAATTTGTTAAAAAATAAAAATCCAACATGAAGCACATGCCTATGAATGCCAACTGAAAGCAGTTCCATGGGTAACTTTTTTATTGTATGACGCTGGCTATAATTGGGTATGTTTTCATGTTGCTTTCCACTCCTATCCTGCCCACTGGTAGATACATAGGTAGGTACTGTAAACTTTGTGCTGAGATAAGGTAAATACTTCTCCCATTCCAATCTTCAACTGAATTCACTATCATATTGCCACACCTGGTAATTAAGAACAAGTAAAAATATACCTGCATAATAAGAAATTTTCAATCATTTAACAAAAGATATCTTGAAAAGCGTTTGTTTAAAATCATTTGTAGAGTAGGTTAGAGGTTTCCAGAAATACAGGAATTGTTTTCTAGGCCAAGTGTATAATAGTTATGTTTCCCAAGGAGATGAATATTCTGTCTTGACAAGCTGATAGAGGAGAGAAAGGCTTTGCTGTTATTATCTCTATGTATCTGTATATATATTGATACACAAACCAGTCAATAACACAGTAAAGGACAAGTGTGTCCTCAGCGGAGACAGGATTTCCTCTTAATCCTACTCATATTGTGTACATTACTATCCTCTTGACTATATAAGACATACCGAGAACGATAGAACGATATTCTACTGTTGCAGGATTATATTCTACGGCATACAATCCCTCTAGATTGTCGTATCTGTGATCTGAATACTTGTCATCTCATACAGAGCCGCGATGTAATGTTACCACTAGGACCATGCTTATCTGCCTGGAACAAACCATCACTGTTGCCCATATAGGAAAAATAAATTGTTACTTTTAGGAACATAAATGTTACTTAATACTAGAGGAACATGTTATTTGACTGGGAAATAGACAATATTACCCATAGAAAAATATGCTGTTTCTGCTTTTAGGAACATAAATGTTTCTTATTACTAGACTAATACTTAAAAAGAACATGTAATCAGAATTAGAAAAAGACTATATTTCCCATAAGAAAAATGAATTGTACATAATGTTACTTACTACCACTAGGAACATGTAATCTGACAGGAACAAACCATTAAAAATAGACAATGTTACCCAAAGGAAAAATAAATTGTTACTTCTTTTAGGTACATGATGTTACTTATTCTTCTCTCCATTCTGTGCATCTGTAAATATATATATCTTACACAGCTTCCTTAAAGATAAAAATCTTAATGTGGGACAAATATGTTACCTTTAAAAATTAACAATGTTATAGGTAAATACATTGTTACTTGTTTCAGGAACACGATGTTACTTCTTTTAGGAACATAATGCAACTTGTGTAAGAAAAACACCATGTTACCTGTCATTGGAGCATAATGTAACTTGTCTTAGGAACATCATGTTACCTCTCTTTGGAACATACTGTTACTCATCTTAAGGAACATAATGTCACCTCTCTTTGGAACATAATTATTTTTCTTAGGAACATAATGTTACCCCCTTGGAACATAATGTAACTTGTCCTAGGAACATAATGTTACCTCTCTTTGGAACATAATGTAACTTGTCTTAGGAACATAATGTTACCTCTCTTTGGAACATAATGTAACTTGTCTTAGGAACATAATGTTACCTCTCTTTGGAACATAGAGTTACCTTTCTTAGGAACACAATGCTACTTTCCTTAGGAACATAATGCTACTTCTTTTTAGAAACATAATTTTACTTCTTTAGAAATAAATATTCTTTTAGGATGTAATATTCTTTTAGGAATATAATTTTACTACTTTTAGGAACCTAATGGTACCTCTAAGAATACATGATTTTTACCTCCTGGA